CTGCTAAGTACGCTCCTTGATGAATGCATTTTACGTAACGGGAAGGAGTATTTGAATTCTATGCGAGTTAGCAGATTTTTTTCTTGCCCTTTGAGTCCCTTAATATGCCATCAAAAAAGAGGGACAAAAAACATAGGTGGGATGACTAATATATCTATATGAACTCAGTCACAAACATCTGATTAAGGGGGGGGGGGGTCTGTTTATTGCAGAAGAACCAGAATAACTAAGTCCCAGCTCTGACAATCCCTTTGGGCTAGTCACTTAACCTCTCTGTGTCCTGGTTTACCCATCCTAGAGAATGGATATATAATATTTTCTCACATACAACACACCCTGGAATCTAATTCACCCCTCCTTTTTGAAAGACAAAATTAATACATTTTTCTAGAGTTATGCCTGCATAGAGCAGGGACAGCTCAATCTTCATCTGACCCATCCTGTGAAATAGGAAGAAAGAGATCAGAAGCCACTAACAGACAGCAAATTTGTTATAAAAACATTAGCTTGATCAGTGAAACATCAAGAAAAAAGGAGCTGGTCATTAACACCTTTGGAGAATAATGAGCCATTAAGTCAACTGACTCCCTCAGCTACCTGAATAGTAATACCACAGGCAGAAAATCAGCTTCCCTGCTTAACAAGAGCTGGGGGAGTGGAGGGAGTTGTGTCTGTATGCAAGAAAATTCAGCAATATATTTATTCATAGATGTTAAGCTTGCCAACTGCAACTGGAATGTCTGAAGAAAAAATGAGCAACAATTTGAAAAAAAAATTCTAATTTGGTTAAAAAATTGAAAAGAGGTACTTTAAGTACTTTTTAGACGTCGGTCACCCTTCGGGAAATGGCAGGTCTTAGTTTTCACTCATTTCTGATGACAGAAAACAACAGAAATTTTTTTGTTGTTGCATAGAATTCACCAAGATAACAGATCAGTATGTTTTTAAATACTATAGATTCCTGTTTGACATCTCTGGGTTTATCTTACAAATTACGTTTGCACACACAATACTGGTAACATTGCAGAACCTTTGAAAGGATCTCAGGAGGCTGCAGAACCTTGATTGAGAATCTCTGCCTTAAATTATAAATGTGAAAGACCACTTACTGCAAGTTATATGTAGAAAATACCATTTACATTAAATAAGTATTAAAGCACATTCACACAAAAAATACATATAGAAGTTTCATTAAATTAACATTTTGGAATATGTAGCTCAACTAGGGTGCACAAACTGCTTTGACTTTCTTCAGGGAAGACACTGTTATGTACATGCAAAATATTGTTAGAAAAAGCAGGGATGAACATCAAAATGAAATTACCTCCTCTATTTTCTCAGAAGATCTCTCGCCTTGATTATTTCTAAATTCTTCATTTATCTTCTGCCTTGCAGCTAAAAGAGGGCAAAGGAATAAATAAAAAAAACCCAGACAAGTTTATTAAACTGTCCTTTGGCTTTGCCAGAAAGCCCACACACTTTAAACAGGTTACATCTGTCTTTGTTAACTTCTATAGTCCTTTTACTACCTATTCTCTTTCTTTCCTTGGGAGAATGAACTCATTCCTTTCATAATGCACTCAGCAGTCATAATTATAATCCTAGATCTTTGTACAGTTTGGGTGACCAGCATTATCTTTTAGTCCCACATAAGACTAAAATCATGTGCAAGCATATGATTTTGTTTACCTCAAAATACAGCAAATATAATTAGCGTTTTTGAAGGATTATTGCAAACTCTAGCAATCAAATAGAATATTGTGGTTCATTTTAACAACTGTAAGTGTAAACGAGCAAATCAGATGTTCAATAACTTAGAGCATATTTAAACTACGTTCAACTATGATACAAAAAGAGTGCAAATTTAGAACCACATGGACTAAAAGAATTTCACAATGTTTTGTGTTAAAAATGTTTTACTGGCTGGAGTTCACTTTAAGAAAAGTGTGGGTAGACAGTAGATAAAGGGGAATTTCTCCTACAGCCTTCTACAAACAGCAAAGGGAAGAAATATTATGAGCCAAATACACATAGGCTGCATGCAGATGTTAAAAAAAAACAAACAAACAAAAAAAACATGCTTTACCAGAAACAGTAGCACGTTATTTCAACTTGGCTCTGCACAATCTGCATAGAGTGGATGCTTCCACAAGGTTTTTTAGTGCTTTTAGCTAAAGCTGATTCAGTCAGCTATTAGATAAAACAGGGGTGGGTAAAATGCAGCTATGGGTACAGCTCGCCAGGCTATTCTATCCAGCCCGCGGGGCCCTTTAAAAATTTAGAAAATTAATATTTATGTGCCCCTGGCTGCCTATCATGCACCACGCTCTTAATTTCTGTTCTCTTACAATGTGTATGCTTAGCAAAAGAGGGCCAAGAAGATTTAGCAGCAAAGAGAGCAAGCTCTCTTCCTCTGTTTTTCCTGCATTCTCTAAAACAGTGGTTTGTAACCAGAGTGCCATGGGATGCAGGAGATCCCTTTAAGGGTGCCATCAACTGCCACTTATTATTAGCACTATTTGGTGGGTAAACACCTACACATGATTCACAAAATAAATCCTAAGATTTCAAATAGGAACTCATAGAATCAAAAAAACCCATACTGTGGTCCTGAGTTCTTTGCAATGAAAAAAATTACTCTCTTATATTCCTGTAATCAAAAAACAAGAAAAAGTTAAGAGCTGGCATTTTCCAAGGGATACACTGAGTCTCAAAATGCTGAGAACCTCTATTTTATAAGTTGGTATTTATGCCTCTTTTCTAATGTAACAGTGCTGGTTCAATTTACATGGTAACATTACAACCTGCTGTTCAGTCAGTCCCAGCTAGCTTGGGGTAAAACATTATCTGAGATGCTCTGCCTCCTTAACCTACTCTTAGGCAAAAGGGGTGGGTGAAAAGGGGGAGGTCCAGAGATAAGAGAAAAAGAACAGTATAGTATTAACATTTCCCTTGAGTAGCTGGAAGACTGTGTGCTCAGCACCCCAGACCACTTCCTCTACACAAGTGGAACTTCTGATGGGAAGGCAGGAACTTAAAACACGTAGCTGAAGTTTTACAGATATCTAGCTAATGGAAGATGTGACCCTCACTCAGCAAGCCCCCAGCCAATCCATCGAGATTGCATAAAGGAACTGTCTAATCTAGTTTAACCTTCTTCCCTCCCTTTTAGCTTTCTCTTTCACTGGCTGGTTGGACCTTAAGCATGTGGCTTTCAAAACCAGGCACTGAATCTAAATTCCTGTTAACATCCAGGAAGCACAATTTTAAAATCAATTTCCTTCCAGAATATACTGTATTTATTCAAATATAAGATGAGGTTTCACATACCAGCAAACTCTCCCATGAAATGCATTTGGCTATTATTAAACTGCAGCTATAAGTAGCTATTGCCAAGTAATGGAAACCAACTATGAAGTTGACTGAATGCAGCCCACACTGAGCATGCCCATATAGCACCTGGTCCATATTGGGGGGAAAAAAAAAACAAAAAAAACAAAACACCACACTGATGGGAACTTTTTACTTAAGTATTACAAAAATATCAAAACTTAAAACCTGCTTCCATCAGCTTACATGCATTACAAAAACCACATCAACTAAGAAGTAGAACAGTAAGAGGTCAAAACTTAAAACATGCTTTCATCAGTTTCCAAAACTTCAGCAAATAAGACCAACAAAACGACAGAACATTTTTACATTATCCAATGATTCCCTCCTTTCCCAAATTCCCTGGACACTTTTGTTTCTTAATATCACATTATTCCCTGACACCTTCCAGGATCATCTATTAAAGCTTATCACCTGTCATCATGTCTTGTCTTGTCCCTATCATGCCTTTTTCCTAGCCAACTCTTGGCCTGTGGCCATAACTCTGCTGCCTCTCAAGCCTCATCATCTTTTCATCCTCCTAGACCTACTAGGTATCTCCATTCTTCTCTTTTCCATAAATACACCGCCTACTTCTTACCTAGTTCTCTTGTGTGCCGTTAGCGATACCACCCCACTTTATTCAAGCCCAAACACAAGGTATCCTCTACAGACAGTTCTAGTTGTTGCAAGACTAGTAAGTTTCTTGCTTTCCACAATACCATGCAAAACTGGTGAATTAACAATTCCATATCACATGACATATGCTTTTGACTTCCTCTTGGCTCCCATAGGCAAGTAGTACCTTTCTTTCTCATTTCCAATGATTCCTGTTTCTTCACAGGCCTTAAATGCTTGGCAAACTTCACCAAACTTCTATGCAGCTGTGAGGCTGTGGCCCTGCCCTCTATGGGATGGAGATAGTACCAGAGAGCTCTGCACCTTATCTGCATATGCATTTTTGGAGGGTCCCAGGACTTAACAAGAACACCCAGTTCCAGTTGTGACTGGGGGGCTAATTAGCATATGGAACTTTTGTGGGGGTTACTTGGTGTAGGGTTATGTACTGAGCGGTGCTGGGTTGTGGGGTCACTATGGCCTGAAATGCTGTTGACTTGGCTGGGGCCAGCCCAATAAACTCTGTGATAAGTCATGAGACTTTTGGCTCTGAATTAATATCATACACAGTTTGTACTATGTAAAAGAAGGTACAAAAGCAGTGTTCAAAAGAGTTTATGAAATACCTGTGTTGAAACTTGGAGCATTCAGAGTTGGGCCCAGAGTCAGACCCACAACAGTCTTCTGCCCCTATCTCTGCCTTCTACAACTTCAGCCCTCCTCTCTATCCTTTTCCCCGCTTTTACTTATTGTCATGTGCAGCTCACTTCCACATTGTGCTCAGGGAGGGAACAGAACTCTGACAGTAAGCAGGGGCAAGAGGAAGAAGTGGGGGCGGGGGCAGAGGCCAAAGGAGCCACTTCAACACCCTCCCTCCCCACTGTCACTACTTTCTTTGCTATAGCAGTGGGAGGGGGAGAAATTCAAGACAGCCACCTGATAATTAGATTATACACATGGAAATTTATAACAAATTTATCATTTTTTAAAATATATAGAGTATGTCTGGGGGGGGTCATTTTATATTATGGTAATTTCCACTCTCAAGAATGCATAAGTTTGCTTTAACAGAGATGCTCATGAGTAACAGGCAGCTGTCACTGATTTATTATTGTTAAAAGGAAAATATAGTATTAGCATTGGCTTAAAGAAAAAAAAAAAATCAGCACAGATTTTCCAAGTAGACTGCATAAACAGGGATCAAGTTCTAGCCCCCTAAGTTTTATGATGTTATTAATCTAATGAAGTCTGCTAAAAGAATCTGTTTATCAGATTCTTATGATTGTTATTGTCAAAAGCTGCATTTTGGCTGCCCAGTGCTAGGCCCTAAACAAATTTGTTTATACCTGACAGAGCTTGTCAAAGAGAGTGAAGTCCTTAACTTGACGGAAATTCCTGGACGAGAGTGATATTATACTGCTAAAATACAACATTACAAACTGACAATATTTCTATTTACTAAAAATATGTACGCTCCAGGGAACAAGTGAACAGATTCACTTCCCGAAGAGATGACCTTCTGAACTACTGGAATTAATATTTTAGTTCAGCATAACTACAAAATGCATTTGAAAGCACTATAGAATACACAATCAGTCTGTTTAAAGGGAGGACATTTTTAGCCCACTATTTTAGATGAAAAGGCTTTATTTGATGAGCTGTCTAACAATGAATTCCTGCACACTAAGGAGTCTTATTATACTGCTGTCTTTGTTCTTAACCCATTGTTCAATAACAAACTGTATTACTATATAATCTGATAATAAGCCTACTACTACTCTCCTTCAAACGAATTGTTAAAATAGCTGTAGTCAGCTTATATGTAGGTATATTATCAGGCTTCCTATAGCATTAACTTCTGTATTTTCAGTATTTTTGCACATATAATTAAAATACAAAGTCAGAAATTTTTCATGAAGGTTTTTTTAAAGTATTTTTAGTGCATGTAACCTTTGCGTTTCTTTCCTTGGTCAGCTGATTCTCCTGTGGGATTCTATAAGGAAAACAGAAGTCCAAGATTTTTATCTACAGTTATTTACTTATGTTCAGAGAAAAAGTTGTTTTTTCTAGCACTGAACTTTAAAATGTAAGTTTGACTTATACGTAAGGCTGTCTTATGATAGGCATAATACAGTATTTAGGCTGATTATACTAAGCTGTTAAGTTCTGATCTCCTTGCCAGAGTTCTCATATCTCACCTTGCCACTCCTTAAACTATTAAAGAGTCCACAATCTAAATTTATCTTCCTCTCCCCTGCCGCCCTACTATGTTAATGACCTAAGCACCTTTAATTACTTTCCTTCCTTCCTCCTCGGGTTAGGCTATACACCTGGTTTGTGTAATATTCTAAATGATATCCTTAAAGCAGCATAACCCCCCAGCAGGAATGATACAGCTTAAGCTTTTCAAACCAAAGAAAACAGCGAAAAAACAAAACATAAAAAACTTGCATTCAAGGGCAACGTATACCAGCAATAGGACACCAGTGCACTGTACCACTCCAACCATGTCTGGTTGCAAAATAACATAGGGGTGCAAATAACAGCATAGAACAGGGGCAGGCAATTATTTTGGGCAGAGGGCTGCTTACTGAGTTTCAGCAAGCCATCGAGGGCCACGTGACAGGCAGCCCAGGGCAGATTAATATTAATTTTCTAAATTTTTTAGGGGCCCCACAGGCTGGATGGAATGGCCTGGCAGTCTGCATCCGGCCCCCGGGCTGCATTTTGCCCACCCCTGGCATAAAACATCCCATACTCTGCTACTAGCACTTATCTTTAAAGCTTTTGGAACTCACTCTTCCAGTCGCCCAGTCTCATGCCCCATGGCTTCTCCCTTAGACCTGACTCCTAACTGAACTTAGTCTTCCATGGAGTCAGTGTCTCTAGATTTCCCTGGAGCTGGGGCTGGTATTCCTTTGCATGGAAAATTTCTGATTTTATGTTCCAAATCAGAACAAAAACAAGTCCCAGAATCCTCTAAGAACAAGAATCACTTCTCTCCACCTATCTCTAGTTAGAGATAATCATGAGGCACTGTGAGCAAGACTTGAAATTAGATTGTTAAAATTAAGATGTTTTTGTTTTTGTCTAGTAACAACCTAGCACTGTGATCATGCTCTGTACCTTCATACCTGTGGCCAAGGGTGATGGCCCGTTCCATTTATTTATGCTGTGGACCAGGATAGACTACATGTGTGCTATGCTATATTAAAAAAAAAGGGAAAATAATTACCCTGCTTGATTGCAATGCCTTTGGCTGAATAAGGAACATCATTACGATGCTCTAACAGGCTCATTTGGTTAAGGTCACCTCAAAATTCTTACCTTCTAGAGCTCCAACATCATTTTTAAACACCTGTTGTCGTGTTCTGTGCAAAGCTTTAAAAAGCTGCAAAACCTGTTAACAAAACGTAAGTCAGTGATAGATGTATGTTGTTTATAAAAGTATTTCTTAGATGAAACTTCTTATAGATAGAAGTTGTTTTGTCTGCTTTCTCTCATCTTTTCTATAGCAAGCTGATGTAGTATCAGTCTGTGAAAAAATGCTGACTTAATTCTTCATCAGATATTGTGCAGATAAAACAGGTGCACAGAATTCAGGAGGCATGGAAAGTTTTTTATTTCTAAATTAATAATTCAAGAGAAAAGAAATATTGTAGATTCTATTTCTAGTTATTTTTCTGTGAATGGAGGTCCCAGTCCCGCAAAGGGATGCATACAAAAACATTCATGTTTCTAGATAACAAAATTTACAGGATTGGGGTTTACAAGCCACTTTAGTAAGTAAATATCATGAGTATTATCAGACCCTAGATTTGCATTAAACATTTGATACCATACAACCAAAACAACAGAAATAAAATCTTTCAGAATTTGTGAAATCTTGGCAACTGTAACACAGTTATAGAACAGAATCACAAAACTGAGTTCATCAGAGGATCTGAAATATCAGAGTAGAATTATTTTTTGTTGTAACATGTTTAAGACTCATACAGATTTCACTTCTGACAATAAGGCAATCGTTACTAAGCAAGTGCTGATTAGAGGGACTATAAAGTATGATGTAGGGTGTACACCTCAATAGTGGTATAAAAGTGATCACCTCTTGGCAAAACTGGCCAATTGTGGCCTTGGGTCCACCATGATCCGCTGGCTGGGAAATTGGCTCTGTGGTCGGACCCAGAGGGTAGTAATTGATGGCAGTCACTCATCATGGTGTCCTGTGACCAGTGGGGTCCCCCAAGGCTCTGTCCTTGGACTCATATTGTTCAACATCTTCATTAATGATGTGGACACTGGAGTCAGGAGCGGACTGGCCAAGTTCGCCGATGACACCAAACTTTGGGGAAAAGCATCCACACCAGAAGACAGGCGGGTGATCCAGGCTGACCTGGACAGGCTCAGCAAATGGGCAGACGAGAACCTGATGGTGTTTAACACCAAAAAATGCAAAGTTCTCCACCTTGGGAAGAAAAACCTGCAGCATCCTTATAGGCTCGGCAGTGCTATGCTGGCTAGCACTACGGAAGAAAGAGACTTGGGGGTCATCATTGACCACAAGGTGAACATGAGCCTTCAGTGTGATGGTGCAGCTACTAAAGCGACCAAAACGCTGGCTTGCATCCATAGATGCTTCTCAAGCAAATCCCAGGACGTCATTCTCCCCTTGTACTCGGCCTTGGTGAGGCCACAGCTGGA